AAATCCACGATGACAAAAGTATCGCCGATGAAGATAAAATGCAGTATTTATTGCAGGCCATGGAACCCAAATCGAAAGCAGAACGCCTAGTCCTTAGCTTCCCGGCAACGGCAGCTAATTATCCTAAAGCCATCGAACAACTAAAAGAGCGCTTTGGACGCGAAGATTTACTTGTGCAAATCTATGTGAGAGACTTGTTAAGCCTAGTGATGAAGAACGCTGTAACCGGAAGAGCAAAAACGGATCTACCCTCCCTGTATATGATGAACTAGAAGGAAAATTGCGAGCGTTGGAAAGTTTGGGAAGAACCCAAGAAAAATATGGGGATTTTTTGACCCCCTTAGTGGAAAGTTGCTTACCAGAAGAAGTACTGATGGCATGGGAAAGGGAAAGAAGCAGAAATCACGACTCCATTGAAACTAAAGGGAATCGATCTTTGAAATATTTAATGAATTTCTTAAAACAGGAAGTTAAGGGGGAAGAGATGGTTCTCCTCGCAAGAACTGGTTTCGCTTCCCAACAGAACCATCGGAAAGAAAGATTATAACCACGAACAGGTAAAGCAAAATGATCCCGTAACAGCATCAGCTCTAGTAAGTCTTGAGAATTCAGGTAAGAGTGTTCCGAACTGTAATTTTTGTGAAAAGAAACATTTTAGTGAAAAATGTTACTCTGCAAAAAAAAATGACTTTAGCTGAAAAAAAAAACAACAATTGTTGTTGAAAAAAGGTGCTTGTTTTTCTTGTCTGAAAAGAGCGAGTCATATTAGTAAATTTTGTCCTTTCAAAGGTAAGTTAAGTTGTTCTATTTGCAAAAGTTGTAATCATTTTGATGTAATGTGTAATCAAAAGCTAAAAAATAATGATCAGATAAATGTTTCAAAAGAGAGTTCTCTTTCTAACTGTAGCAGAAGCGAAACTGTATTTTTGCAAACGCTTTGCGTTCGAATTCGGTGTCAAGGTCGCGAGAAAATTATTCGCTGCATAATTGATAGCGGAAGCCAAAGTAGCTACGTTAGTGAAAATATGATGAGTCAGCTTAAAGCATCTCCACTTCGGGAGGAGACAGTTATACATGCACTGTTTGGGGGGGACGAAACGAAACCTAAACAACATGAAGTGTTTTCGGTCGAGGTCAGCAATTTAAAAGGAACATTCGCATGTAGTTTTGAGGCATTATCGGAAAAAAAGATTTGCGGTTTTATTCCTAAGGTTAAGGATAAAGAGATTTTGAATGAATTAAAAGAAAAAGAAATCGAATTTTCTGATCCATTGCGAAAGGAAATTGAAATTAACCTTTTAATCGGAGCAGATGTTATAGGAAAATTATTGACGGGAAATTCTATTGAATTACAGTCCGGGGTAACGGCTGTCGAAACGAAACTTGGGTGGACGGTATTTGGCAAACGAAATTCGGGTGAAAAGGATAATATTTTGAAAACATTTTCAATGCATGTCAGGAGAATTCCTCTGAATGAGTTATGGGAACTTGAAAAAATAGGAATATGCGCTCCAAACGAAACTGTTAAAATGAATGAAAGTTTTAATTTATCTGAATTTGAGAACAAAATGAAAATTCTTCCAGATGGAAGATATGAAGTAGAACTTCCGTGGAAATGTGATACGACACATTTAACCGATAATAAAGAATTATCCTGGAAAAGGTATCAAAAGATGATCTATAAACTCAGATGTAGTAAATTTTTCGATGATTATCAAAATGTGTTCAAGGAATGGGAAAGGTTGAATATTATTGAACGCGTACCAGAAAACGAATTGAATAATGAATGTCATTATTTGCCGCATAGGCCTGTAATCAAATTAGGAAGTGAAACCACGAAAAATTCGTCCTGTTTTTGACGCTTCTGCATCTGAGAAAGGGAGACTCTCTTTGAACGAATGTTTGTGTAAAGGAATAAATCTTATTGAATTAATACCTGATATTATAGATCGTTTTAGAATGTATCCGATTGGTATTAGTGCCGATATTGAAAAGGCTTTTTTAATGTTATCCGTCGCATCTAAAGATAGAGATTTTCTCAGATTTTTTTTTCCCATGCAATGAAGAGCAATTAATTTATAGGCATTGCAGAGTTGTGTTTGGAGTTTCTTCGAGCCCCTACTTGTTGAACGCATCTATAATGCATCTATTAGAAAAACTGTCCACGTCAATATAGTGAAGTTGCTCAAAAATTGAAATCGTCATTTTATGTGGATAATTGTTTATCTAGTGTTTTTAGTATTGATGAACAGTTTACGTTTATTGAACATTCCAAATTAATCATGTCAAATGGATGTTTTAACTTGCGCGGTTTTGAAAGCAATGTGGCTGGTACAAATGTTGACAAACATTCAGGGGATACTTCCGTTTTGGGGGTAATTTGGAATTTGGATAATGATACGCTGAGGTGCTGCACAGACACAGATACATTGACCTGTGATACAAAAATCACAAAGAGGACAATTTTGGCAATTGTGCAGACAATTTTTGATCCTATTGGTTTATTAACGCCAACTACATTGCTTCCAAAACTGTTGTTGCAAAAATTGTGGAAAGTGAAAATTGCATGGGATGATGAATTGTCTCCGAATGATGTAAATATATTTTTGAACTGGTTTAAAGAACTTAATGTTTTGAAAGATGTTACTTTGCCTCGATACTTGTTTATCAATGACACGTCTGAACTACATGTATTTGTGGATGCTTGCAAGGGGGCGTATGCAGCGTGCGTCTTTGTTCGATCAATATTTAATTCTGAAGTAAAAATAAATCTCGTACGGGCGAAGTCTAGAGTATCGCCTTTGAAATCTTTAAGCATTCCTCGCTTAGAATTAATGGCCTGTTGTATAGGTTCTAGACTTGCAAATTCTATTATCAAAGCTCTCAGTTTGCCCGATTTAAAAGTTACCTTCTGGTCTGATTCAACCACTGCCCTTTGGTGGATAACAGAGCAAGGAAATTGGTCCGTTTTCGTCGAAAATAGGGTTAAAGAGATTCGAGAGTTGACGCGAGGTCATTCATGGAGACATATCCCAGGGAAACTAAATATTGCCGACTTGTTGTCGCGCGGATGTTTTGCGAAGCAAATGCTTCGGTCTAGATGGTGGGAAGGCCCCTTGTGGTTACGAGAAAGCCCTGAAAACTGGCCCACTGGTGAGATTATTTATTTGCATGAAGAAGTAGAATTGGAGAGGAAAAAGATAAAAAGAGTGAATATTGATCTATCAAAAGACGCACCCCCTTGGCATCGAATCAGTGTATCCAATTATGATAAAATGATTAGAGTATTTGCATGGATATTTAGATTTGTAAATAATTGTAAAGGTGGTTCTGAAAAGAATGGAAAGATTGAACTTTCACAGTATGAAATTGAAAATTCTGAGAAAAATTTAATTCGTTTGGTTCAAAATTATTATCTGACTGATAAGAAATCTTATAATTTTATTGAAACGCTCATTGATGATGATGGTATTCTAAGAGTTAAAACGAGAATACTAAATAGAGATGACTATGAATCTTTTCTGTATCCAATACTGTTACCAGAAAAATGTGATTTTACTAAGTTATTAATCAGAAATGTGCATAATAAGAACTGTCATGCTGGTCTTCAGATGATGCAATGCATATTACGAGAAAGATTTTGGATAGTCAGAGCTAGAAAGGCCATTAAAAATGTCCTCTTTAACTGTATCGTTTGTAAAAGATTTAAAACTAAGGCCATGTCAAGCGAACCGACACCTCTGCCGCCACCAGACCGAGTTACGGATTGTGCGCCATTTGAAATCATAGGGATTGATTTGGCCGGACCGCTGTTTTTAAAAAATGGAGGAAAGGTGTGGATCGCGCTGTTCACCTGCGCTGTGTACCGTGCCATTCACCTTGAACTCGTAAATTCTCTTTCTACTGATGCGTTTCTCCTGGCGCTTCGACGATTTGTTGCTAGGCGCGGACGCCCTAGAATAATCTATAGTGATAACGGGACAAATTTTCGGGGTGCGTCTAATGATTTATCAAAACTAAATTGGACTAAAGTAGTAAAGGAAACGGGAACTGAAAGTATAATCTGGAAATTTATTCCACCTACTGCAGCTTGGTGGGGTGGCTGGTGGGAGAGGTTGGTTCGTACAGTAAAAGAATTGTTAAAACGTACTTTAGGTAAATCAGTGTTATCATATGAAGAACTTTATACTATTATTTGTGATTGTGAAACTATAATTAATTCTAGACCCTTAACTTATGTTTCTGAAGATCCGCAAGAATTAGTACCTCTGACACCCGCCATGTTTCTTATCGAGAACAGAAATTCCAATGTTGAAGATCTTGATGAATTAAATTTGTCAAGTCTTAATAAGAGATTAAAGTATAGAACTAAATTGTTAAATGATCTGAGACAACGATTTAGAAAAGAATACCTTAGTCAACTGGTTCAAAAGCATAATGAAAAAGCGATCTCGGGAACCTGTAGTAGGAGAAATAGTACTGATGGGGGATGATAACAAAAAAACGTTTATTTTGGCCTTTAGCCCGAATTACAGAATTGATCCCTGGACGTGATGGAAAGATTCGTACGGTTAAACTTAAGACCCGGCATGGAATAGTTATACGACCAATACAACGCATCTTTCCTCTGGAGATACAGTCCAATGATAGAAACATAATTCCTGATAAGAAACTGGGTGCAGAGGAATCTAATTCTAGTGCTGGGTGTACGTTAAAAAGGGGAATTGCACCTGATAAAATGGTGATGCAACAATATTCCTCCTCTGGACGACTTGTAAAAGTTCCAAAAAGACTTGATCTTTTAAATAATGTTTGTTATGAGTTTGAGACTCAACCTGAGTCTCAAGGGGGGGGGGGGGAGGATGTTGTGAAATGAACTGAAGTAATAACCGGCGCGAGGCGCTGCTGTTTTGTGACGTCAGCCTGCGTGCTGAATGTTTTCGAATTTTTTGAAGTGTGGACGAACGAAAGCTGAGCTCGGAAGAGTGATACTGTTTTGATGGAAATAAAGAATGATTTATTAAGAATTTTTTTGTCTTTATTCATAATGCACCCAGCCTCGGGTAGAGGCAGGCCCGCAACTGAACGAACTGTTTTAAATATATTTGATTTATATATTTTCTGTCTTCTTCGTAACACATATGCTAATTAACACAGGACACAAGCCTTGATATGTATGTGAAGTATGTAAGAAATCATATAGTCAAAAGATTAAACATGCACATGTTTACGCACACAGGAGAGAAGTCGCATGTGTGTGAACTATGCAAGAGGTCATTTATTCAGAAGAGTAGTTTAAAAAGGCATATGCTTATTCACACAGGAGAGAAACCTTATATGTGTGAAGTATGTAAGTACTCATTTAAACACAAGTGGTCATTAATTACTCATATACCTATTCACACAGGAGAGAAATCTCATGTGTGTGAGGTATGTAAGAAATCATTTAGATGCAACGCTTATTTAAAGAGTCATATGCTTATTCACAGAGAAGAGAAACCTTATATGTGTGAAGTATGTATGAAGACATTTACACATAAAGGCCATTTAAAGAGTCATATGCTAAATCACACAGGTGAGAAACCTTATATGTGTGAAGTATGTATGAAGACATTTACACATAAATGTCATTTAAAGAGTCATATGCTGATTCACACAGGAGAGAAGCCTCATGTGTGTCAAGTATGTAAGAAGTCATTTAGTCAGAAGGGTAGTTTAGCCACACATATTCTTATTCACACAGGAGAAAAACCTCATGTGTGTGAAGTATGTAACATGTCATTTAGTCAGAAGAATTATTTAAACAGACATATGCTTATTCACACAGGAGAGAAATCTCATGTATGTGAAGTGTGTAAGAAGTCATTTAGTAAGAAGTGTAATTTAAATGCTCATATGCTTATACACACACGAGAAAAACCTTATGTGAGGCAAACCTCAGGGGATAAACCTCATGTGTGTGAAGTATGTAAGAAGACATTTTTTCAGAAGGATAGTTTAGACACTCATATGTTTAATCACACAAGAGAAAAACCTCATGTATGTGAAGTATGTAAGAAGTCATTTAGACGAAAGGTTCATTTACGGAGTCATATGCTTATTCACACAGGAGAGAAACCACATGTGTGTGAAGTTTGTCAGAACTCATTTAGTCACAAGTCTTCTTTAAATAGACATATGTTTATTCATACAGGAGAGAAACCTCATGTGTGTGAAGTATGTAATAAGTCATTTAGCCTCAAGAATTCTTTGACTTCTCATATGCGTACTCACACAGGAAAGAAAACTCATGTGTGTGAAGTATGCAAGATGTCATTTAGTGTCGGGGGCGCTTTAAAGAGCCATATGCTTATTCACACAGGAGAAAAACATCATTTGTGTCTAGTATGTAAGAAGTCATTTAGACATAGGAGTTCTTTTAGGATTCATATGCGTATTCACACAGGAGAAAAACCTCATGTGTGTGAAGTATGTAAGAAGTCATTTAGATACAAGCATGATTTCAAGAGTCATATGCTTATTCATACAGGAAAAAAACCTTATGTCTGTGAAATATGTAAGAAGTCATTCAGACTTAAAGACGGATTAAATAGACATATGCTTATTCACACAGGTGAGAAACCTCATGTGTGTGAAGTATGTAAGAAGTCATTTCATCGTAAGGATAATTTAACTAGGCATATGGTTATTCACACAGGAGAGAAACCTCATGTGTGTGAAGTATGTAAGAAGTCATTTAGTGAGAAGGCTTTTTTAAAGAGGCACATGCTTACTCACACAGGAGAGAAATCTTATGTGTGTGAAGTATGTAAAAAGTCATTTTATTGGAAGGGTACTTTAGCTACTCATATGCTTATTCACACAGGAAAGAAATCTTATGTTTGTGAAGTATGTAAAAAGGCATTTCCTCGAAAGGGTAATTTAGTTACTCATATGCTTATTCACGCAGAACAGAAACCTCATGTGTGTGAAGTATGTAGGAAGTCATTTAGACACAAGTCTACTTTAACCAAACATATGCTTATTCACACAGGAGAAAATCCTCATGTGTAAAATGTCCTTGTGAAGAATGTAAGAGGTAAAGAAGAATGAGGGTAAATTTAACAGGAATATGCGCATTCAAACGACAGAGAAAACTTGTGTATGAAGTATGTAAAAATTCATTTTTAGTAAATTATGAGTAAAATAGGCATATCCACTGAACAAAGAAGTCTCTTATATTATGTATGGATGTAGAATAATTTGAAGAAATATATGTTGGCCTACACAACACGAGAAACCTGCTTTTTGTAGAGATGTTGAATTAGTATGTGCCTTTAATTGTCTGTGTAGTAATTGTGCAGCAGCAAACAGAGCTCATTTTTTGAGTGCAAGTCAGTTTCAATAGCTGCCAGTATTTTGTGGTAGCAAAATTCTTGGAATTTAGAACCACTAATACTGACTGCATTCAGTAGCAGAATTTTTAGTTTTAAAGCATTATAACGTGGTATATAAAACATGCTGTCGACCCTATGTGCAGTTTATAAAATTTCGTTTGTGCAAGATATATCTCAAGTCTGTTTTAAGTAATCTAAACTTGAAGCTACATTTGCTACTCTGCTGCCCTAAAGGGTTTAAAACTGTTTATACCAAACTTGATTGAAAAGCTCTTATTCAGAATCTGTCTTGATGTGTTTTGCATTTCTTGCACCTTTTCCCAAATTTGAGTGCTTGACTCTGGATTCTTGTTTTCACAGTTTTTGTATATTTTGTATGTGTTCAGTTTTACATGTGTGACCTACCAAAATGCATTTTATTCATCATATGTTTGTTACCACTTTGATATACTTCTGATACTGCAATTCTGAAGCATGGCTAAATATTTCATCCACATGTGTTTTATTGTGATGAAATACTAAAGACCTGCAGTTAAATTACATAGTTCCATTTTTTTTACATCATTTTTAGCTATGTAGAGGTATTACCAGCAAATATTATTCTCAGTATTACTATCCAGCTTCAATATCAAATGTGTCAAATGTGTAACATTCACAAAGCCAGTATACTGGTAAAGGAAAATGAGGTCTTGTCAAATATATTCAGTTAGTCCTGGATGTACCAAATAGAGCAACCTGATAAGATTGAAGCACCTAAGAAAAAATTTGAGGAAATTCACTACGGAAATATCGTTTTCAAGCAGGTAAGAAACTCAAATTTGGTAGATATTTGTTTAAAAACTATGTGTTTTATCCAGTGTTCAAAGAAATTTAATTTTTAATTTGCAAAAATACACACTTTATAAGCATGAACATCTATGTACAAAAGAAAAATGACAGTCTCGGTTTCACTCGCAACTTTTACAGTATTCAGACATTGTTAAAAGTTATTATTATAAGTATCTGAAGCATAAAAAAATGGTCTCAGCTCTTTCCTTAATAATGCAACTGAAAAGTTACTAGCAACATTTGGCATTTGGTCACAATTTTATGGTTTTAATTCAAGGAACACGTTTTTTTAGAATCCATAATAGGTGTTTATTTAGAATCCATAACAAGTGTTTGTAAAGCAGGATTTTCATGAAAATTTGAAATATTTCAAATTTTATATTTTAGAGGTTTTTACTCCTTTAATGTATGTGTTAAATGGAAATATGGGAGTTGCAAATGCTTTGATAATTAAATAATTCAGGTTTTTTTTAAATTTGACACCTCATGCTTATATATATTAATATTTAGTCAGTAACTTTTAAAATTTATGCATGTAAGTCTATTGTTGCACGGACATAATACATTTTTCATGATATTCTCTATAACTGAATGTAACATACATACAGACTAGTTCAGCATTTTGTGCAAATTTATATGCATAAATAAAGATACAACTGTTTAGATATAAATACAGACAAGATTTATTTGAAGTATTAGAATTGTCATTTTTCAAAAGTATTGTGAGAATGACACTGTTTGCAGTAAATACAGTACGAAGTCCAAGATCCAGACTCGTCGGGACTTTGGCGATTCCTGAATTAGAATTTTTCCTTATATTAGATCATTATTTTTTAACGATATTTTTTTTTTTTTTTTTTTTTTTTTTTTAAAGTTTCGAATACTTTACTGTACGGAATATAACGTAAAAACGGTGTTTTTCAAGATGGCTGACGATTGTAAAAACCGCATCAACAATTGCACCAAAAATCCGTGCAACCGTCTACCAAAGTAGTACCCATGTAGAAATTATAAAATTTAAAAATATTAACCGCTTGCCTGATTATTCCGAGTTATCTCGGGTTCGTATATATTGCAGTTAATTATTATCCCGAGAAAACTCGGGCGAAGCAGAATTTGTTAGTACGATTTCTTTTATCACGGTTTTACTCCGTCTGGAGGAAATGAAAGGAAATATTCAGCTTTGATTGGCAATTTGCCAAATTTTGTTGGTTGCGTGGTTCTTTTGGAGCGTGTTTGGTCGCGTGTTTCCCTATTGTATAGTATACGTTGGCTTGTGGATTAGTAATGTATAAAAAAGGATGCATGCGTTGGGAAAAGAATAAAATAATGTCGATGATGCAAGATAGCGAAAGCGATGATTTTTCAGATAGTGATTATGAAGAGGTGTGTGTGGGGGGGAAATCAAATCAAAGACAGTGTGCTTCCGTGAAAGAGATTCCAGCGGTAAGCCAGTAAGAAAAGAGACCAGATACCATTTTAGAACGTCAGGTACCACTGTGTGTTGTCCCTTGTTTCAAAAACAATCATACAAAGATTAATATTTAACTATTTTTGTTTGCCTGAGTTAACTCGGGATAGTAAACTAATATTAAAAATAAATGCTTTTACACCTTCAAAAATTAAAAATTCAACTTAAAACCTACATATTTTGATTTGTTTCATTTTGTTGTATTTAATAATAAAATAAAAAAATGTGATGATTTTTTGCAATTTTTTTCAAAAAAATTTGTAAGGGAAGCAGTTAAATCATGATTTATGAAATAGTGAAGCAATTATGGGTGAAGTGCAGAATCGCCCACTTATTTGTTTGGTGCTTTTTATAAGAGTATTTCTCAATTTTTTTTTACTTTTTAAGTAAAAAAAGGTCGATGTGTACATGATACTGAGTATGTGTAATTCTTAAAAACGTGCCAAGCAGTGGGGTATTCTGCACTTTCCCCGCATTTATTATCTAAAATGTATCAAAATTTACAAAAAAAAAAAAAAAAAAAAAAAGCTTAATATTTATCTATTTACTTTATTAAACATTTAATTTCTTTCATCTGGTACTTTCTTATTATCTGCATCCACAGTTATGAGCTCGCTGGTGAACTTGAAGAGAATTCATAAAATCATTGTTGATTTTGGAGACAAACATCGGTTCAGAAATTATTAAATTTATTTAAATGCTGCTTTGACTCTTACTGTTTTTATTATAGTCCTTCTTTTCCATGGAATACTTAAATACTTCTTGGTATTTTGTACTAAGTCTTTAGGAAAGATTAAATTTATGAAATTTAGAGAAGATTTGAAATTGAAATAAATTTTGATACTGTTTATTTAAAATTTTTTGCTTGAAATGAAATAGATTTTGGTAATGTCCTTGTGTAAACTAAATTGTGTTTAACTTTGATTTTAACATTTAAGTTAATGAAAGAAACTTTAAGAGACTTTTAAGTGATATTGTTGCATTGTTATCTGAGTAACAGTATTACAGAGTTTGCAATCAAAAATCAAAATATTAACAAACTAATATTTATACCCTGCCTGAAAACTGGTGACAAATAGTTGGATTTTTTATCGTAAGTAATGGTGTTTAACAAAATGGCATGTATTTGTTGAATATTTTGCATTATTATTATTTTGCGGAATTGCATAGATTACAACATATGGTAAAACTAAATAAAAAATTTATATATGTGCGTCTTACAGATATTTTTTGTAGTTTCAAAAAATTTATTTCCGATAAAGATCTTATCATACAGTGTCCTGTACAGTTATTTGTCCTGTGACTACACAGTGATCGGGAATAAAAATTTGCATAAATGATGTATTATTAATAATTATCAAACTGTATTTGATCTTAGCAAATAGCTATAGCAAACTGTTATGTCTGTTGTCAATACACTAGTTGTCTAACTCAGTACTAAATTTCATCAAATATTTTTCTTGAATAAATGTTTTTATTTTTACTACATAGTATGTTATTTTTAAAATTCATTTTCAATATCCATAATTAGAACAAAATTTTGGCATGATTATTTTGAAAGTTCAAGATATTTATTGCCATGATACACTGTAAGAGCTCCACTGTATGGAAATGTTGGGAAATGCTGAATTCCGTGTATGGGAAAATTCCATGTACAGTAGAACTCAAATTATCCGGATCAGTTGGGACCAGAACCCATTTGAATAATTGGAATTTTTACAAAGAAACAGTCTATAGACACATGAATCAATTACTGAAGGTACTGTGTGTTGAAAATGGGAGGAAAAAACTATTTTTGAAGAAAAAGAGGTTTTAATTAGTTAAAATGAAGAGGCAACACGTTTATGTGCGTGTTATGTAGAGTGATGTACAGCAATTACAAGTGCTGAAAGTCGTTGCTTACTGAACATCTCGTAAAGTAAGCTGTTTGACTGTCTTCATCGGTTTTCGGACAGCCAAGTTGTGCATCCACCTGCCAATGAGAAGCTGCATGTGATCTCACTTTAGTTGATGCTCCTTCAAATGCTGATCATTAGCAGTCAGATCATAAATCATAAAGAAAGGGAAACACGAGGATGGAAGAAAAAGGGGGACTGTGCGCATCGGAGTTGTGGAAAAATGTGGGATCCCTTTAAACCTCTTATTTTCGTGCATTCAGTTTTATAGACAGGAAAATATAGAGAAATTGAATACACTATGAGATGGTAACTCATTATCCCAATAATGTTTGCCTTGTGCCTACACTAGCTTCATGGAGGAAAGGACAATAGAACGCTTAGACAGAATTATTATTTTGTGAATTGCAGTATGTTTCCGTCTTAATTGGTTTCCTAAATTCTAAAAGTAATTTGGATAGTCGGAGTTCGGATAATTGGAGTTGTACCGTAGTTGAGTACATAAAAAGTGGAATTCCTGTAAGAAAAGTTAAATCAGTGAGGAACATTTAGCTCTAAAATTATCAAAATAGTCAGCTTATTTTTACAACATGAATATAAAAAACTCACATTTAAAATTATGTTCTTATGCATTTTGAACATATGTAAATACTTTTATTGGAATTATATGTGAATTGTATGTCATGCATAATGTAATATGAAAAGTCTCAACAGTGTGAAGTGTTGCTGGGAAAACAATATTATAGTGATAAGTACATTTAACATTGAGTTAAATGGCTGTCTCGCCAAATTAGCGAGATAATACCAAGTTGGCATTGCTCTTGGCATCTAATTTTTATCTCTAAATTTGGTGACGAATCCCCAAAAGTCGCCAGATTTGAAGTCTATACTTTTATAACTGTGTCCTGCCCAATGGAACTTTACCTGTGTGTGTTCCAGCAATTGTAAGAAATGACAGGTGCTGTAAATTTCTCAGTGGACAGGGGGAAAACTATACAAGACGAGATCAATTGAGTTTAGTTCAGAGGTTACCTCAGAGTATTGGGCAACCTTATGTATTTGAGGCTTTTTATGTTATCTTGTTTGTGTTTGATGATCTTAAAAGCTTGAAGTGGTAACTACTGATCTGCTCTGTCATACTTTTGTAAAAACTTCCAGAAATCTAAAGTGTTTCTTTGGGAAAATAAATATCATGAAGCTATCGTCGGATCTGGCTGCATTCAATCGATTACAAACCTGTACACACATAAGAATATCAAGTTCTGAAAAATGCTTTTAAGACATATAAGCTTATCTGTTGGCCTGTAGCATGAAAATAAAATATATGATCCGATTGTGAAACTCTTCCAAACATGAAAGCTGAAGGAGACATTGCCAATCATTTCAGCAAAAGCAGATAATTCAGGGACAATTTATGGATACTGCATGGATACTTTATGGATACTAAATGATTTTAGCTGTAAAAAGGTAAAATCATTTAGAATTTGTCACATTGCATCGTCATTCTTTACCTATTTTTAAAGTCGAATATGTTGTTAATGGATAGATGATGTAGCTTTGAAAATATTCCACTTCATACAGTCTGGTATTCATGAATCTTTTTCAAAATATGAAGAAAATATAGAACTTAATCCATCTTTTCAAAAATTATACCAGCTTATCTAGAATTAGTCAAATGTACATTAAACCAAAACAGACTTACTATGATTGTATTGTGAAAACATGCTCATTTATTATTGGAGTAAATTACACTTTGGTGACAGTGTATATATGTTAATAGCTCTATTATGGCATTACAAATCTCTCACTGAATTTTTTCGAGGAGAAAAGTTTCTGAAATATGCCAATTACAGTCAAAAGTCATTAATCCGGACTCATCGGGACTTCGGCGATCCCGGATTATCAATTTTTACAGATTATAGATCATCAGTTTAAATCTCGTAACATGGCATTGCAGAAATTTCTAAAATTAAAAATAATGAAAATAAAGAACAATTATGATCTAAAGGGTATCAAATTTACAAAAAAAAAAGCTTAATATTTATTTGTTTACTTTATTAAACATTTCTTTCAATGTAAGTTGTTTAAGTTGCTTCATTTTATGTGATAATACTTTCTCTTTAATTCTATAAACAGACATAATTTCTTGTTCAGTTACAAAGTTCCGCTGTTCAAGTCCCATTAATTGCTGCTGTGCCGAGAATACCGACTAAACTTGTCAATCGAAATTTTTTCGTTTTTCACTAACCTCTCTGTCACATTCTTCATGTCTTTATCCATTTTTTGCAGCAATTCCACTTTTTGTTTGATGCACATCGAAACATACTTTCGTTTTGTACGATCCTTTGGGAGCTCCAGAATCGGAAATTCTATTTGACATAATCGAAAGTTCAAGTTTACTTTTATCGTTTTGCTCTTACAGGCTGCAAAAAATAATAAGCCGGATCCAATTCGAAAATTAAGGAACAACGCAATTATCAACATTAACTGAAATAGATAATTAGATAATTTTACCTTATACCGTCCGTTATACATAAAACGCTCACGCAAAAACGTACTCTGCACTTGCGCACACGCATACGCGCAGACTTAAAAGGTCTTACGCGCACGCATAAACGCCTATGCTCATGTGTCAACGCGGCGCATGCGCAGAAAGTTTTTAGCTTTGAGGTCCGGATTATAGATCATTCCGGATTATGGGTGTCCGAATTAACGACTTTTGACTGTACATGAATAGCCGATAGTCCGGCTTTTACTGTGTGTATGTAAAAATTCTGTCTGGCAGACTTTATTTATACATAATATTTAAGTCCTACTACATAATATTTAAGTCCACTTTTTCTCAATTGTGATATGAAATATTTTCTATTCAATAAATACTGAACTTTAACTATACAAGATAATTAGAAACCTGTATATACACTGAATTAGGAGATCTTGTTTGAAAGAAATTACTGCTCATTTGGCTTTGATAATGACTGCCACATGATGAAGGATTTGAATTCCTGTTGACCCACAATTTGTGCTGCTCGGCCACAGGTAAGTTTACGTAAAAGATTATTAAATAGAGATACAATCTGCAGACATTTGTCTTTGCAAAGATGTCTGTGCCAAGCAAACACATCCAGCAAGAAAAATGTAGTTTTCCTATTAGCTCATTTTGCAGGATAAAACTTACTCATAAATAAGAGATATACCCCCTAGCTTAATTACTCCGACAAACAAACAACAAAATAAAATGAAGGATATAAAAAAATTTTTATTTATGGTATTTATTATGAAAACAAAATGTACTGTTATAAGTTGTAGATTCATTAGGGTTGTTTTAAAGCAGACCTGAAAACGTGATATGCTCTCACTGAGACTCGAACCTGGACCTCTGGAATATGCACCGAGTGTGCTACCATTACTCAATGAAGGCATGCTGGAAGGAGGAAGAAAATACCTTATATGCTCCCCTTTTAAAGGGCAACTGTGGTTAGGTGACCCAGTTACCAAATAGTAGTGGTGACACGCTATTGTGCACCACCTTTTTGTTCGTGCACTACTGTAGAGTCATTAGGGTTTTTGATGCTGGAACGTTTAAAGTGAGCAGTGCCTTCGCCGGAACTCGAACCTAGGCATCCTGAATACTCAACAAGTGTGCTACAGTTACACCATGAAGGCATGCTAGAAGGAAGGAGGATATACCTTAAAAAGTGATAAGAACTGCAAATTTAATTTTACCAGCAGCCAGTAGCGAACATTATTCTGTATTTATTTGTATGTAAATATTATTCTGTATTCACATTATTCTGTATTTCCAACAAGAAAACATTAATCATTAGGTTATTTTGACTGTAGTAAAATCTTTGTAGATAAAAGAAATGCATCAAGTTATTTCATTAAGAAGAAATAAAGACTATTGGCAGTATTTTTCTTCAAAACCTGAATTATGTTATTACAAGTAAGACTAACACACTTAATTATGCCCTGACTATAGATATATCTTTCCATAGAAAGTTGTTAGATACATATTTTTCTGCAGCAAAAAAGATTGTTCTAACATTGTATCTTTCCAGAAAAATCTGAAATATCTTCTAGGATTGTTAATGTTGTTAGAAAAGCAAAACGGTTGGTGGTATTAATGCAAAGTAACATTATGTACTGGTTGCTCTCCGAGTAGATAAGTGTTGTAGTTCAATAAAGACTTAGTTTTTAATTTGCATCTTTTAGCTTTATTGAAAACACATCTGCGTACCTAAAAAAATATACCCCTTTCTGTTTATCTGCCTAATGATGAAAATACAGTACAAAGTCCGAAATCCGGACATCGATTATCCAGAATGATCTAAAATCAGGACCTCAAAGACACAAACACTTTTTTTTTTTTTTTTTTTTTTTTTTTTTTTTTTTTTTTTTTGTATGTTTTACGCATGCGCATTTGATTTTTCCTTCCATAATAAAACATGTGGAAATTTTCATTTAAAAATTCTGATTCTTAATTTTACTTAGGCACTAAATACAATACCTCATTATGGAAAACAATAATGTAAGCATAAATTTGTGAGATTAATAATTTGGCTCCTTAGCTGAGTGTCTGCTTGGCCATACATCTCAAACCGAAACATTCACCTATTTTATATTCCTGACGCCGACCTGGCGAGTCATTATTTATTATATTTTACTTTCATCACTGCATGTTTATCAATGCATGACAGCTTCAATAAATAACTCATGCAGTGATATCGAAACTTTTTTTTATATTAGTAATTGAATAACAAGAGCATGGCAACCTTTTATGTTAACATTACGCTTGGCGATGATAAGAGATTTTTAAATGCTGTAAGAAATGTTGACGAGGAAAAATTCAACAAAAATTTATTTTCATATGCTAAAAATAGATTTTGTTAATGAAACTCATAGGCCAAAAGATTACATCTAATGCTATTTTAATTAAGAATAACTGATATGTTATTCACCATAAACAGAGAAGCGGCGGCAGAATATGTCGGCACCGGACGGCAGAATTTAGGGAAGACAAAATTTTTGGAATTTGGAGAAGCTCGGAGCAGCAAAATTAAGGGTTGAGAAGTTTTTTATAATGCAAACTTTTTGTAATCGGAAAAGACACAAGACCTTGAGCATTTAAAGGAGTAACTATTTCCCCCATTATATATCAAGCAAAAAAGAGCATGGATGACACAAGCATTAATGAATGATTGGTTTGCAAATCATTTTATACCCGAGGATAGGCAACATTTTAATTCAGTTTACTCAGTGACTCAAAAACAGTCCTGATTGTAGGTAACTGTTCGGCGCATACTTCACTTAAAGTTTTAGTGAAAGATAATGTATCCAAATTATTTTTCTCTCCAAATTGTATGTCTGTCATTCAGCCTGTAGATATCGGAATAGTGTGCGTGCTGAAATGCAAATATAAAGTAGCATTTTTAAAATCCATGTTAAATTTCTTTGGCAAGACTATTCAAGAATTTAAAAAATATTTTAGCATAAAATCTCGTGTGGAGCATCGCAAGATCGTGGAAGGATGTGTCTCCAGATACGTTAAAAAATGCTTGGCATAATTTATAGCCAGCTACCGTATTTCATGGTGAGGACGATAAAGATGATAGCCGTGAATTAGAAGGTTTTTTTTAATATCACAAACTAAAGGTGAAATTTTCCAGTTAATGGGTTTTGTAAAGAAATGTGCAGAAGCGGTAATAAATAAAGATGATATAACGGAAATTTTTCATTGTGATGACAATGCCCCAATCATCAATCAATCAACAGACAGATTGTTCTAGATCCAGAAAATACCAGTACTGATAGGGAAGAAAGTGACAGAGAGGTTTAGTGACAACGAGAAAATTTCGAGCTACAAGTTAGTTGAAATTCTCGAATCAGCAGTTACAGGACTTTAACAATGTTTATAGCAGTTACAGGACTTTAACAAAGAGAAAGTATTAGCACAAAAAATGAAGCATTTTAAACAACTTACATTGAAAGAAATGTTTAATAAGGTAAACAAATAAATATTAAGCTCTTCTTTTTTTTTTTTTTTTTTTTTTTTTGTAAATTTTGGATACCATCATAAATCACAATTTCATTTTTTAATTGTATAATTTCTGCATGCGTTTTACCGGATTTAATTTGATGATCTAATATCCGGAAAAATTCCCAATCCGGAATCACCGAAGCCCCAACGAGTTCGGATTTCGGACTTTGTACAACAAGTCAAACAAACAAGAGATTATGTCTGTCTACAGAATTAAAGAGAAAGTATTAGCACAAAAAATGAAACATTTTAAACAACTTACATTGAAAGAAATGTTTAATAAGGTAAACAAATAAATATTAAGCTCTTCTTTTTTTTTTTTTTTTTTTTTTTTTTGTAAATTTTGATACCATCATAAATCACAATTTCATATTTTTAATTGTATAATTTCTGCATGCGTTTTACCGGATTTAATTTGATGATCTAATATCCGGAAAAATTCCCAATCCGGAATCACCGAAGCCCCAATGAGTCCGGATTTCGGACTTTGTACTGTAATTCATGTGTGCGAAGTAAGACAGCCCATAATATCACAAAAGATGTGGCAACCGAGATATGCAGTGCAAGAGGGCAGGTTTTGGCATTTTAAATTTGGTAGTTATTTTTTTTAATTGGTTCTTGTTCTGTGTAGTTTTTGATGTGCTGGCACTTTTTTACTTCCTTGTATGAAGTAAAAGAAGTATTGTAATCACGAAAAATTCCGGGTACCATATTTCAATCAAAGTAACCATCCTGACCACTATCGAATGCAATTTAATAAGGTTTTTGCATGATATCTGTACGTGAGAAACTGATTTAAAATGGATTCAGAAGAGTTTTTTTTCATGGCATCTGTACATACGTACGTATGTATCTCGCTTAACTCAAAGGAATAGTCTCAGCACATTGAAATTTTGAATGTGGGACTGCTATAACATGTAGATGTACACCTTCCTGTTTAGTTGAAATTGGCTGCACCAAACGTATATAAATATTATATATATATATAAATCCTATTACTTGGCTCTGTGAGCTCAGATTTTTTATTCTTATATTTTGGTAAATTGTGGATTTTTTGCTTTAAAAATGATGGAATTATGTTGTACTTATCTTCCGGTTAAGGTTTTTATGCCTTTGGTTAAACTGCATGTTATAGTTGTAGAATTATCAACAATTTAAAAGTTGTGTAAGTGCCGCTAAGCCTCCTATTTTGATGACGGCCATTGCTTGTTTACATTTGAAACAGCTGAGTAGTGAATTTGTTGCCAATCTATAGAAACGTAGCTTCGCAACAACAAAGATAAATAAAGTTGTTTAACCCGTTCACGACGGGCACCTCTGTTACCGAAGCATTCTCTTGGGACGGCGCGTTAACCAGATACGTCGTCTTGTGGGGACAGGCAATTCGCGCTGCTAAGCCGCCTAACTTTGGAAAAAATTCTATATTTTATATAATATTATTAATTATATAATATTATAATTTATATTCTATAAATTAAATTTGTCATCCAATTGTTCCAATTTTTGGTACATTATGAGAAGAACATTCAGGTGTTGTCGGAATTAATTTTAAACCTTTATTGTTATATTTTCCTTAAAATGTTTATAAAATACTCATTCTAGAATAATATAATTTTTCCTTTATCCCACAATTAAATGTATATCCAAACAGTCGCAGATTTTATTTAACACAACACGTAATTAAAATTAAAAAATATTAAAACTCTCTTTCATAAAAATTCAATGGGCAAACAACGAAAAGGAAGCAATATTTCAAAAAAGAGACAGTGTATGATATTCTTTGAAACATGGGTGTACGCAAAGTCCAACGTTGCAAATGTCTCAGGAATAGAATATCAGCAAATATGACTCATTTAGCATTTGTGTATCTTTTACGATCAGATAGCACTTTTGTTTTGCCATTAAAAAATAGAACACCAGCAATAGAACATAAAAAAAAAAAAAAAAAAAAAAAAAACTTTTACTAAGCCATACAAAATATTCGTCTCAATGCCAGAAAAATCTAAGAGTATTAGCATTTGTGTATATTCTTCTATGTTCAGATATTTATATCGCAAAAATAAAAATAAAAGGTACCTCAAAGCATCAAGAACACGTGCATTTGTTTATATCAAATGACGCAGTTAAAGAGACATTACATTGCTCAACACCCACCCACGAATCTCCCTCTCATTCCGAAACAAAATACCAAAAATAAAAAACATTGCATAGGAATGAAGGTACACATACTTAACTTTTGATATATTTTCCCATAACACACATACAGCTGCATCCTGCAGCAACAAAAAATACTAATTAAACATTCTATCTAAAAAGTGAAATGTGGTACCCCTGGCCATAGAGTGAATTAAATGTTGATTCAAATATGACACAGCCGGCTGTGAGGTAATGTTCGCTGCTGATGCACATTTGACACGCCCGTACTGAACGGGTTAAGTGCAGCTAAGCCTAACTTTTTTACTATAGCAGTCATATTTGTTTATATTTGGAAACTTAGCAGAATAGTGCATCTAGAGAAACTAAGCTTCACAACAACAAACATAACTTCTTCTTTTATTATGGCCAATTATATCATGCTTATTAATCCATTCTGGAATTATCATTTAAGTTATTAAATTATCCCATATATTCACTCAGCATAGCATCCACAACAAATAAAGCCAGTTTCTACACCTTCAGTGTCTTTTTGACGAGCAGGAAACTTTTAGATTTGCGCATCCAAAAATCTGCCTTTTTGCCTACTGGCTGAATTGCTAGTTTTTGCACAAAAACTCTAATTTTAATTGTAATTTTTTTTTTTTTTGTTTTTTGTTTCTTGCATTTTTAATTCTGTTAATTTGTTGTTTTGACAACGCTTAGTGTGCTGCTAATTTTGAAAATGGCCATTATCTTTTGCATCTTAAGTTGGGGAAAAATAGTGGACACACAAAATTTTTGCACATTCAAATTAAATCTAAAAATTCTGGTAGCAACCTTAAAACTATTAATTTAGTTATTTTTTGTCTTAAATTCGTAACAGAACTAAGTAAACACAGAATTCTGTGTAAGTGAAAAGTCTCAATGCTTATATAGGGTTCCAGAATTTATATTTTTTTTCGTTACTTGAAAACAAGTATTCATAGAGTATAGTTTTCATTTTCCCAGTGTCAGTCAAATGTAAATATTTTAAATTAGCTTTCTCTAGATAGATAGGTTTGCCATATTACTCATGTATTTTTTTACTTTTTACTATTTCTATTGAAAACTCTTAAAGTAATTTAAATACAAAGGATGGGGTTGGAGTAAGAAAATAACAAATGAAACTGATACATGGAAAAATTATCAGTAACTCTGAATTTTATTTATTTAAAAAAATAACGAAAGCCTACATTTGAGTTAGACTAAAGATAAAATATCCTCATTATTTTTTATCTGATTCCTGACTCTCATTGTTGTCCTATACTCTATCTAGATCTTAAATCATGTAATGCTGCTGGTATTACCGTCTGTGTTGTCTCCTTCAGCTTGCAGGTCATCACCGTTCAGTCCGCCTTCCCACATACAGTTATCTTCAGAACTGTGCGGACCATTAAGATATTCCCATTTTCTTGAAGCCCTTTTCTATTATTTTTTTGTGAATTAGAGCCCATTTACAAGCAAATCAGTTAGTAAAAAGAAATTAACCACTATGTACTGAAACTAATTTTAAAATTCAGAAGTGATTGCTTTCTGAACACCGTGATGAAATTGAAATTTACGTAGCTGCTTAAAATATTTTCAGAAACATCCAGTAAAGTGCTTATGAGAAATATATAGATATTTACCTAATTAACTATGGTAATAAATTAATCCAGACACAACTGACAACATTAATGTACAAACCTGTTTAAAACCTGCCTTTTATTTTCATTTACCTTGTTTATAAATAGATTTAAAATTAAATATCAGTTTATTGCAATTTCTATTATAATAAATTTAATGTAGTTATAATGCTGAACTGTACATTATAATTTAACAATACATTATGCAATAAAAAGATATTAGTTTTAATTGTTAATTAGAATTTGTATGTAGCAAATGAACTATGCATATAATTCATTAGAATGATTTTTTTCTTTCAGCGTTCATCTGAAGGTGATATTTAGCGTACCCTAAAGTTTTAAACACTTGTTTGCACTAGCGAAATTCTGAGCCTGAGAATGGACAAAGCCTGAAACTGAACTGAACAGGTAAACTGATTCTCAGCCGTAACTGGAACATGTATACTTGATGACTCCATTAATGTAATGTGAACATCTGCTTTTGATTCTTTATTTGGCCAAACTGATATAAACTTGGAAAATGTAAAACTTTGTGATATGAAGATTTGATCAGCCGGAGATGTGCAAGTTATGGGGAGGTATTTTGTTGACATTGCATGCTGAGCAATATGGTACAAAATTCAACGTAGGATTTTAGATGTTCCAAAAGTGTACTTATATGCTATTTTATATGATAAAAAGCTAAAAATTTCTCAAACTGGAAACAATATTCTTTTTCTGGTAATTTGTAATTTGCTGCAGAGATCAAAAGCAATTTCATGTAAATTGAGCCTTTTCATTAACACTGATGTTGTATGTAAAGATATCAGTCTACTAGGTCATAATTAATGCTATAAAAATATATATATATTTATATAAGTATACAGAGAATGTTTTATTTATGAAATATATTTAATGAAAGCAATACAAAGATGTGATATATAAATTGAGATGTCTAATATAATTTCATGTTGAATTTAAATACTTATATAAATAAAAAAATATTTTACATTTAATTTCATAGATTTCTGGCAATATTTAAAATGATATTCATTGGTATTTTTTACATATTCAGCTGTATTCCTTTTGCTTATTCTAATTGTTTTTAATCTGATTAGAAATCCTTAGGTTAACCTCCACCTGTTATGTTAATATTGCTTGATCAATAACTTGATAAGTGACAGTACAGATTCACATAAGCACGTTCGTTTATTATAAACCAATGTCATGAACTGACGACTACTTCACTTCATTTCAACAAGCAACTAGTGTGTTGCCACATACATATAACATCTCCCTCTCTTTTGTGAGAGCCATAGGTTTTCACTGCATTACATAATTCTCATATTTGGATGGTTCGATATACATTATGACCACTTCTGGTTTTATATACACAATCACGATTAATGTTATTGCTATTATCTTGATGGTGAGGAATCATTATGTATTTTAGGACGTTCAACTACTTATACTTTCCTTCATTCTCATTACATACATCATAACAGTCTAATGTCACTAAATTCTTCTGATTTTTAGTTTTTCTTAAAGTGGAATTTAATTGCCTGTTCTAATTACCCTAATCTTTTGTTCTAATCCAATATGATCTAGGAGTTGAATGCTTTTTTAAAACTATAGCCAGGCTCCCAATTATTTTCCCATCTCACCATTACCTTTTCCCCAGGAATAAATTCAGGTCTTTCCCTTGCATGCGTATTATAATAGATTTTAGCCTGTTTCTGCTTACTCCTCACCTTTTCTCTATGTTGATCTTTTACAGTTGATTTCAATTCTGTTTGTGTAATTGGTAATTGTGTTCTTAAATTCCTATTTAATAGTATTTGACTTAATGATAAATTTATACCTGAAACTGGAGTATTTCTATATTCCAGTAAAGCCTCATTTAATTTCTTCAATCCTGCTTTTCTAAATAAACTCTTAGCTATACCTACCAACTTCTCTGCAAATCCATTAGATTCAGGATATCGAGGAATGCTAGTTATTATTTCAAATCACCAATCCCTTGCGCAACTCTTCATTTTGCAACTATTAATCGGTACATTATCACAAATTAAAGTTTTGGGTATTCCATGTGTTGCAAATATCGATTTCAATTTACTAGTAGCTTCCACTGCACTTTTATTTTTTAGAGGAGTTATGTCTACCCATTTAGTTAAGTAAGAGCCTATTATTAGATAACTCTTTCCTCTGCATACTCACAGATATCAGCACCATCTTTTTCATAAGGTAAACTGGGAATCTCATAAGACACAAGAGGTTCTTTTAGAGGCCTGAACCTATCACAAATTAGGCATTTAGAAATCATATTCTCAATGTCTCTGTTGATTCCTGGCCAAAATAGTACTTGCTGAGCCCTAGCTTTCGATTTTTCAACCCCACAGTTAGTTTCATGCAATAATGTTAACATACACTTCCTTAATGCAACAGGTACTGCAATTTGATTATTAAAGAAACTAAATCTTGTTCAACACTCAACTCATTTTTAAATTTAAGATAAGATCTTGCTTCTTTAGGAACTTTATCAACACTCAAAGGACATTCATGTTGCCAATATTCTTTCACTAACGTTAACCCTTCGTATTCAATTGTAGCTTTCTGAAATTCCCTTTTCTTACTCTCAGATATTTGCAGTTGTTTGTTAGTGTATGAACAATCTCTGTCATATCCATGTTTTTATTTCTCTGTAATATCCATATTTCCATTTGCGTGTGTATCAATAAAGGAACATGATAGTAAATCTGCAATATACATATACAGTCAAAAGTCTTTAATCCGGACTCATCGGGACTTCGGCGATTCCGGATTATCGGATTTTCCGGATTATAGATCATCAGTTTAAATCTGGTAAGAAATTATAAAATTAAAGATATGAAACCATAATTTATGAAATAAAGAGCAATTATGATCTAAAGAGTATTAAAATTTACCAAAAAAAGCTTAATATTTATTTGTTTACTTTATTAAACATTTCTTTCAACGCGTGCATTTGTAAACCAGTGCTCCGCAACCGGTGTGCCGCGGCACACTGGTGTGAAATGAGTAGGATATAGGTGTGCCGCAATCAAATACATGTATTTGACATTTTGCAATTTTTTATCATGTATTTAATACACAATGACAATTTTTTTCCTAAATAATGTCTATTTTAAATGTTTTTATATATTTCACTGTTGTGTGGTTGTGTGTGTGATTGTAAGTGTGTCAGCATTTGAATTTTTTCGGCACTTCCTTGATAACTCGGAACCCTTTGGTGTGGCACGAAATTCCAGAAAGATTTTTTGTGCGTCGCAGGTGATAAAAAGGTTGCGGAGCACTGCTGTAAAGCATACATTACGCATAGCCGAAGTTAGAAAATTGCAACCAGAAAACTATTTGATGTGTATTCATGATATTTATAATGACGAGGAATTTGATTCAAATCATATCAAACACTGAGTTCATCGAGATGAAACACTACATTTAGTAAGGATTTATAAGCCGAATAAAATAAAAACATCGGCCCTGAAGATAAGGATAGTGCTGACAGATTAACTTCCAGTTTCTTGTGCTCCGCGACCCCCCAGAGCAGCGTGAAATTGATAAACAGATTTCGGAATGGTTAGAAAAACAAAGAATATGCCTTTATCCATTTTTTGCAGCAATTCCGCTTTTTGTTTGATGGACATCGAAACATGCTTTCGCTTAGTAGATAGATCCTTTGGCAAGCTCCAGAATTGGAAATTCTTTTTCACATAATCGAAAGTTCAAGCTTTAGTTTTTATAAAATTGCCATAAAAATAACAGTCTGCAAAAAATAATAAGCGAGATCCAATTAGAAGATTAAGGAACAACGCAATCTGCAACATTAACTGAAATAGATAATTAGATAATTTTAGCTTAGCGTATACTGTCAGTTATACATTAAACGCACATGCGTAAAGGTATTATGCGCATGTGTCAACTCGTTATGCGTTTACGCATGCGCAGAAAGTTTGTAGCTTTGAGGTCCGGATTATAGATCATTCTGGATTATGGACCTCCGGTTTAAAGACTTGATTGTATTTCCCAGGCAACTATTTAAGTTTTAAGTTATATTTTAAGAGTTTAATTTTTATCCTTTGCAATCTATTTGACGACACATTAGCAATATTTTTGTTCATAATTGAAACTAATGGCTTATGATCAGTAAGCATTCTACCTCTCTACCATAAATATAAAAGTGAAATTTATTAACAGCGAATAAAATACTAAGAAATTCTTTCTCAATCTGAGCATAATTTTTTTCTGCATTACTTAAACTCCTAGACGAAAAAGCAATTGTTTGCCCATTCTGCAATAAGCAGCAACCTAACCCATCTTTAGAACTATCTGCCTGAGCATATCATCCTCCTGGAAATTAAGAAATTTGCCGAAAACAGAAGAATCATCATCCCACAGCAATATGGTTTTCGCAGCAAATATTCTACAGTTCATCAACTATTCAGAGTGACTGAATTAATTTCATCCGGATTTCAAAATAAACTCTGCACAGCTTCTATCTTCCTAGATATATCCAAGGCATTCGACTGTGTTTGGCTCGATGGCCTTATCTACAAATTAATCATTCTGGATTCCAGAATTCATCATAGCAACACTTCGCTCCTATCTAACCGATAGATATTTTATCGTTCGTATCAATCAAACACTCTCCACTAAACGAATTATCCGCGCGGGCCCGCCTATGGGCTCGTCGAGCTCCCTTTATATTTAATTTAATACGAACGATATTCCACACATGCATAACACAACATTCGCTATGTACGCGGACGATACAGCGATCCTCGCACAAAATGAATCTCCCAGCTCAGCTATCCAACAGCTACAAACACACATACATACACTTGAACTCTGGCTCTCTGATTGGAAAATTAAAGTCAACGTCAATAAATCTGTTGCTATCATGATTTCTAAAAAAAAAGGAAAATTGAAAGGAAATCTAGTGTTTTACAATACTCACATTCCCTTGGAGCCAAGGAAGTCAAATACCGTAGGCGTTAGTACTTGATCAGAGACTCACATGGAAGCCCCACATTAAACACATAATTACAAAGTTTCGAGTCAGTAAAATAACACTTCACCTCCTAATCGCTCGAAACAGCATTTTAGCACTAGACCAAAAACTACTCATTTATAAAGCCATGCTCGTTCCAATAATTACTTATGCCTACCAGGTTTGGGGCTATGTCTGTAACACTACACTGATAAGACTACAACGACTTCAAAACATCACATTAAGACAAATCACTAATAGCACATATTACATAAGAAACGAAGCCATACACAGAGAAACAAACATACCTCCACTAGTTGAGATTATGATTAAAATCGCTAAGCGATTCCTTGCAAACATCATTAACGTTAACAATCCTACCATTCCCTCATTACAGTATAACGTTAATGACCAGCGCAACAGAAGGAGGCCAGGTGCCTTATTAAGAAACTATCACTAATTAGTAATTATAAAAATATCATTAAAAAATAATAATAATAAAAATATTTTATTAACTATAACTATAACTTAATAAATAACTATAACTTAAATGAAAACGATTAGGTGATTTCTAAGTAGTGCTTAAAGGAAATATCCCTCCTCAGACAAAATGAAAGTTAGAAATAAATTTTTATTTCAGCCCAAATTATTTCGAAGTCCAGCAGGCTTTCCTCAATTTTAACCCCTTCCCCCATTACTTTTTTGGCCTTCCCTTCAAAATTTCGTATGGACTGGAAAGAGCCTCTGCCCCTTCCCCCTAGCACACGTGACTAACGCACCCCAATCAACTTTCTTCTCCTCGATCTACTTCGATGCTTTCCTGACTTCAACTCATTCAGCCTTCTGCCGCCACCACTGCTGCCTGCGAGCTCCTTCGATCGATGCTCTCCGATGGTTTAACCATCTTTAATCGACGTTCCCGTTGCCATATTGCTTATCCTGCTTCCCAGACTCGAACTGAATCTCAAGATCTACTACAACATA